CATGAGAGTCAGAGCACTGCACACCCGGGCAGGGGTGGGAGGGGGGAGAGGGGAGCGGCTCCGGCCTGGGAGGGTGGACAGTGGGGCGTGCCACTGTTTCATTTCTCCCAGGGGTGCAGGTGTCCACCCCAGCGCTCCGATGGCAGCTGGGGTGCCGGTGAGGTGCAGACATTGAGTCACGGAGCACAGGGGTGTGGCTGGTCGCCCCCCGCTCCCTGCCCCCTGGTTTCCTATCCTTTCTCAGCCTCTGGGTGCCTCTGGGTGCCCCCCAGGTCACACTGAACCAGACCAGAGCTCCTGCAATGCAGGCTGCCCACTTCAGGCACCCCAGCCTTTGCCCCCTCCAGCACCCTCCCTCTCACAGCCACCACCCACAGTCATGAATTCCCACCTGCCCCTGCCACCTTGGGAACATGGCTTCCGCCTCCACTCCCTCCAGCTCCTGTGGGCCAGCCCCTGGGGAACGGGGGATGCCGGGGCTCCACCCACATCCCAGGCCCCGCTAGCAGCCCGGGTCCATTCTGGCCGCCTTCTGCTCAGTTCCTGTCCGAGGAGGCCCAGGCCTGGGGTGCGGAGCCCAAGGTCAGGGCCAGGATGGGGAGCTGGGAAAGACCTTGTCTCTGCTCGCACGCACCTTACTGCCCCCAGCCGCAGCGCCTGGGCCCCCAGGACATTGTGCAGATGGCCCTGTGGGCCCACAGGCCCCGACACACCCTCCTCCCTGGTATTGGCGGGAGGCACTCCCGGTGGGTCTGCGAGGAGATGCCAGTTTTTCCCAGGGATGTGATCCCGGCGTCGGCAGGACCGTTCTTTGGTGTGAGGACTAATCTAACCTCCTCCGCCCACTTACAGGTGCCAGCAGGTAACCCGGGGCCTCGGGCCACCAGGAGCCCCCAACAGTCTCCCTGCCTCCACTGAAAGCCACCCACCAAGTGTCATTACAGGAGCCTCAAGCATCAGGGCCCAGGTTCCTGACAACAAACACTGAAATAGTCCCCAGGGGAGACCTGGGAAGGCAGAAGGCAGGGATAGAGGGGGAGACAAGGAGCAAGGGTGAGAGGGGGAAAGTGAGGAGGGGGGAAAGGGGAGGAGGATGTGTGTTATGGGAGGCGGGAGCATGTGTGTTAAGGGAGGAGAGAGGATGTGTGTTATCGAGGAGGGAGGTGTGTGTTATGGGCGGAGGGAGGATGTGTGGTATGGGAGGAGGGAGCGTGTGTGTTAGGGGAGGAGGGAGCATGAGTGTAATACAGAGGAGGGAGGATGTGGGTTATGGGAGGAGGGACGATGTGTGTTATGGGCGGAGGGAGGATGTGTGGTATGGGAGGAGGGAGCGTGTGTGTTAGGGGAGGAGGGAGCATGAGTGTAATACAGAGGAGGGAGGATGTGGGTTATGGGAGGAGGGACGATGTGTGTTATGGGCGGAGGGAGGATGTGTGGTATGGGAGGAGGGAGCGTGTGTGTTAGGGGAGGAGGGAGCATGAGTGTAATACAGAGGAGGGAGGATGTGGGTTATGGGAGGAGGGACGATGTGTGTTATGGGCGGAGGGAGGATGTGTGGTATGGGAGGAGGGAGCATGTGTGTTATGGGAGGGGGCAGCATGTGTGTAATACAGAGGAGGGAGGATGTGTGTTATGGGAGGAGGGAGGATGTGTGTTATGGGAGGAGGGACGATGTGTGTTATGGGAGGAGGGACGATGTGTGTTATGGGAGGAGGGACGATGTGTGTTATGGGAGGAGGGACGATGTGTGTTATGGGAGGAGGGACGATGTGTGTTATGGGAGGAGGGACGATGTGTGTTATGGGAGGAGGGACGATGTGTGTTATGGGAGGAGGGACGATGTGTGTTATGGGAGGAGGGACGATGTGTGTTATGGGAGGAGGGACGATGTGTGTTATGGGAGGAGGGACGATGTGTGTTATGGGAGGAGGGACGATGTGTGTTATGGGAGGAGGGACGATGTGTGTTATGGGAGGAGGGACGATGTGTGTTATGGGAGGAGGGACGATGTGTGTTATGGGAGGAGGGACGATGTGTGTTATGGGAGGAGGGACGATGTGTGTTATGGGAGGAGGGACGATGTGTGTTATGGGAGGAGGGACGATGTGTGTTATGGGAGGAGGGACGATGTGTGTTATGGGAGGAGGGACGATGTGTGTTATGGGAGGAGGGACGATGTGTGTTATGGGAGGAGGGACGATGTGTGTTATGGGAGGAGGGACGATGTGTGTTATGGGAGGAGGGACGATGTGTGTTATGGGAGGAGGGACGATGTGTGTTATGGGAGGAGGGACGATGTGTGTTATGGGAGGAGGGACGATGTGTGTTATGGGAGGAGGGACGATGTGTGTTATGGGAGGAGGGACGATGTGTGTTATGGGAGGAGGGACGATGTGTGTTATGGGAGGAGGGACGATGTGTGTTATGGGAGGAGGGACGATGTGTGTTATGGGAGGAGGGACGATGTGTGTTATGGGAGGAGGGACGATGTGTGTTATGGGAGGAGGGACGATGTGTGTTATGGGAGGAGGGACGATGTGTGTTATGGGAGGAGGGACGATGTGTGTTATGGGAGGAGGGACGATGTGTGTTATGGGAGGAGGGACGATGTGTGTTATGGGAGGAGGGACGATGTGTGTTATGGGAGGAGGGACGATGTGTGTTATGGGAGGAGGGACGATGTGTGTTATGGGAGGAGGGACGATGTGTGTTATGGGAGGAGGGACGATGTGTGTTATGGGAGGAGGGACGATGTGTGTTATGGGAGGAGGGACGATGTGTGTTATGGGAGGAGGGACGATGTGTGTTATGGGAGGAGGGACGATGTGTGTTATGGGAGGAGGGACGATGTGTGTTATGGGAGGAGGGACGATGTGTGTTATGGGAGGAGGGACGATGTGTGTTATGGGAGGAGGGACGATGTGTGTTATGGGAGGAGGGACGATGTGTGTTATGGGAGGAGGGACGATGTGTGTTATGGGAGGAGGGACGATGTGTGTTATGGGAGGAGGGACGATGTGTGTTATGGGAGGAGGGACGATGTGTGTTATGGGAGGAGGGAGGATGTGTGTTATGGGAGAAGGAGGATGTGTGTTATCGAGGAGGGAGGTGTGTGTTGTAGGGACGGGACACAGAGAGGGGACAGGACAATCTTGAACATCCCACCAGGTGTAATGCTGGCTCCTCAGTCACTTTCCAAGTCCGAAGGACTTTTACACACAACTCGCCAAGCCTCACAAAAGTCAGTGAGGTAGGGAGGCATCAGGCCGCCCATTGGGTAGATGGGGAAGCTGAGTCAGAGACGTGCTGGCTGGGTGTGAGTTAGCAGCAGAGGCAGCGAGGGGCACCCCCTCCTGACCAGGGCCTGGGCCTCGTTGGCAGCCTGTCCTCAGGAGGGGCCGGCCCTCCGGCCACAGGCACTGGCGGGAGCGGCTGCAGGAAGGCAGTATGGTTTCCCGAGTGCCTGGTGGCTCTGCTCTGTCTGCTGCCAATGCCAGGAACCCGGGGGTGAGTTATGGGAGCAGGACAGAAGGGACAGCAACAGCTGGCGGGGACCCTGAGCTCATGGGGGGGCAGGGCGAGGGACAGCCCATAGTGCCGCTGCCCCCCAGTTTCCTCCCCACCCCCCTCCTGCCCTGTCTCCGCCCTGAGGAAGCTGCTGCTGCCTCTGAAGAAGAGGCTCCAGCCTCCCCTCCCCCCAGGGCCCAGGAGCACATCTCAGGGGTTCTGAGAGCCAGGCAGTGGGCAGTGGGCGCAGACGTGACCTCCAAATGCCACCTCCTGCCACCTGACTTCTGCCCCCACCCGGGGACAGCACCTGGGGCCACTCCCGCACCTCCACATCCTAGCCAGGGACCCCCGGGAGTCTGGGAGCCCTCTCTGTGACTCAGCCATTTCCCACGGGGCCACAGTGACACGCCCCTGCCCCACCCCTACAGGGGGGGCGGGGGGGTCACGGGAGCCGTCAGCAGTGCCACAGGAGACAGGTGGCATGAGGGGGAGGGAGTGCTGGACCTGGAGCTAAGGCACAGTCTAGCCCCATACACGGGGTGCAGCAGTTCTGGAAAAGCAAAGGAAAACCGGCACCCTCTCTCCGCCCACCGGGACGGGCGGGCGAGGCCCAGCTGAGCAGGAAGCAGCCAGAACCCCAGGTGGGCGCTCTCACCGAAGGAAGGGGGCCTGAGGCGGAGGCCAGCGGGTAGGGGGGGCTGCCCACACACAACCCTGAGTCAGGGGAGCAGGTGTGGGGCACCGAGGCACCCACAGCAGAGGGGGCAGCGCCCAAGCAGGAAGGGCTGGC